GAGGTGTTATTCCTCTTTTTCTTTCTCACACACACTTTCTCACTGGGTTCTAGCCTGTGCCTGATGTCCCACTGCCCGAATCTTATGTTTAATCAATACGTGAAATAACAGAGATATATTACAATCTTTCACTCTTTCACTCTCTCTCTCTCTCTCTCTCTCTCTCTCTCTCTCTCTCTCTTTCACTCTCTCTCTTTCTCTCTTACAAACACACAAGCAAACAAACACACACACACACACACACATTACCGGTTTCATTAGATAAACATGATGACTATGTGGATGTGATTACTGTTGAATCAACCCTAATTAGCGCCAGCCAAATGCAAGCAGGATTATAGACATGCTGCCATACAAGAAAGGTACATCTTGTACTAGTTTGGATGCAGATGTGGAGCATGATCTGCCCTATTTTTTCCCAGTAGGTTTAAAACCACTTAATCTTAGCTCCAGGGGACGGAGACTTCAGTTAAGTTACACTTAATTCATTTTCTACTCGAGGAATTTCATCCAACAATGACTATTTCCTAAAATTTAAAGAGCGTGTTTATTGTTGTGGATGAATGAATTTTTGAGGTCACTGTTCTCTGGCAGAGTGCCTGGCCAGAGAGAGTCACACAAACCAACACAGCTGCCGTATGTTTCTCGCAGCCAGTATTTACTGTGTATTAAAATAATGTAACTGTGTGGCAGCCACTGCCCTTTGGCTTGCTGGGAAATTTCTGCCACGCATTGTTTGTTTCAGCTCAGAGCCAGAGGTTTGAAAGCAATTTGACCTTTTGATTTCATTTCACAGCTTACTGTTCTAACTTCCTTAAAGCCAACATTGAAAGTTTCAACACAACAGAGTACGTTTTTTATTGAAAAATCCATTAAGTGAGAGCCCAAATTCATTACAGTCCAGCTTTGTTAGAGTCTTTTCTTTCTGCTTTCTGTCGAGAAATGGCTGCATTGTCGATACTGAAATCAAGATACTCTACTTTCTATGACAAGATCAGTTTGTGGCTGTGGCAAATAAACTATGGTGGAGTTATGATCAGGGTAAGGCACCTAAAACCCTTGAGTAAGGTTAAGAAAAGATCAGGGTTATTTTTAATAAAACGTTGAAGGTAATGCATGTCTGCAGTTTGCGTCCCCCATGTTTTATCATCACATTCGAGTCGCAAAACATCCGTTCTTCTGAAATAAAAATACCCAGCGATCTTTGAAAAAGCCAGAAGGTCATTTAACAAAACCTATTTTCTGAAGGTATTTCCAGAATCCTCAAAGACTCTTCTAACCATCTGATGGGAAACAGTCTTTTATACACTGCACGATTAAAATGATTTTGAACCCATCTCCAAAGTTACAAGTCTATTTCCCACTCCAAACAAAGAAGGTAAATGATGTAAAAAATATAAAACTTCACAGAAAGTAACAAAAATAAGGAGAATTGTATCTGGTAATATGAATATACATGAGAGGCACAAGCTGGGGCTAGTCTGCAACAGTTTCCTGTATGAGAGTAAGATGCACTGCACTTCCATCCACCACCCTGACCTTGCTTTCCTTGTTGTCAAATACAGGACACATCCTTTTCTGCGCTGGCAGTGCATGTTGGTATTGGAGATAAGGTCGTCATGAGGTGCTGAATTGTCCAATGTGAACATAGTTCCAAGGGATACTGGCCTGTAATTTTACATATTACGCCATTTGATGATGATCTTATGCAAAGCACCTTCTTTAAAGTGCATTGACTGCACATCTCATGTAACCCTCTTTCAACAGTTCCCCTTTCTGACTCACTCTGTCCATGACCTATTCTTCCTAAATTGTTTCTTTGCTTCCTCCCTCCTGCTGTCCCAGTATGTGCTCCCCCTCCCTCTTTCCCTCCCTTCCTGGGTGGGAGTCAGTAGCAGTGACGTAGCTGTTGTTTCATCGCCACAGAGACAGTCCAGTCTGGAAAGACGAGCAGCTCCTTGTCTTTTCCCTCTTTCTCTCACGGACACATGCAATTTCCCTCTGCAAACAGCATCTCTCTGTGTGCAGGTATGAATGACTGTGTAAGACAGTGAGATAGGTTTTGACTTTGTGCCAATTCAGGGCAGCTGTAGAGGCATACAGCATCCGCCCCAGGGACAGCAGTCTGAACAAGCTTTTGCTTTTCACAGGTCAGTGATGGAACACAACACACACTGTCCTCCTTACCTTAGACTGAAAGGAACAAAGAGAAAGAACAATGAACAATGTCCGGCAAGAAACATGCCTTTCTCCATTTCTCAGTTTTGTAAATTCTCCCAGTCTGTCTTGGCTTATGATGCTCATTCAAACATTGTCCACCCTCGGTTACTGTGAGCTGACATACTGCAGCATTACGTACACAGGGGGACACAGTGCTGCATTGTGTGAAAGCTGAGTCTGTGGAAAGAGCTGAGCAGTACAGGCTTTTCCTCTGGACAGTGGAATGAAAAGGGTTGAACAGGAATTTGGGTTTGGCCTGCAGTGACTGACCGAACTGTGCTGTGACTTTCCCCCTTTGTTTGGGTGTCTTTGAGCCTCAGGTAGAAACGTCAAAGAGCATTGTTGATTAAATTTAATAGAGGAATGGCTCTCCTCTACCAGCAAACGGTTGCTGCCTCAAGTTCACTGTTTCACATTTTTATACTGCGAGTGTTTTTGCTGCTCACAATCCACTTGACACCACTACATGAGAGAATGGAGAACGTGTTATTATGGTTCCAGCTAATGAAAGGAAAGAAGGGGCATATTCATTTCACATAAACTCTCAATTAAAACTCTTGTCTTGTCCTCCCATCCACTAAATCTGAAGTGATCACTTACAGCTTTCCACACTGGTAGAAAGTTTTTTGTTTAACTGCAGTGTATATGCTATTGTGCTAGCAAGTAATGGACCGATATAAAATCTACCAAAGACTCTATTTGTCAGTATTAAAATAAGAATTTAACCAGATATAACAAGCTAAAGGTTTCACACCATATACTGTATGCATGCAGAACAAAGATATAAGGGACTCACATAATATGGTTATGGGATGAGATATAGGCTGCCCATTGTTCCAATGGCCCAATATTCCAAATCCCCAATAGTCCAAAAAATGTCCCATTTGTCTGACAGCCTGTTGTCCTAAAAATGAAAGTCCACCGATTTGAAGGTTTTGGACATGCAGGAAAGGATAAAGCCAGGTGACTGTATGGTGGCCTTTGTCATCATGGTAACAATAATAAACACATAGTTGACCCTGTGAAGCGGTCGTAGTTTGGTGGCACCAAACTACTTTTAGGCCTAAATGGAATGGGATTTCGGGATGTCCACTTGGACATTTTTGGGACTATTGGGGTTTTGGAATAAAGGGCCTTTGGAACAATGGCGTTGCACCTACTGGAGTCGATAGGTAGATGTACAGGACCAGAGAGAAAATGTGGTTTTATGTGCATTCTGTAGCTCCAAAGTAGGGTTAGAGATGGTTTAGTGCACCTGCGCTATTTTTTTCTCTTTACTTCTTTGAAAAAACTTTCCTGATCTTGATCATATATTCAGCATGAGAGATGTCCGACACAAAGTATAGAATCTAAAGCTGTTCCAGTGAAAAACCTCTGGATTTTATCAGAATACATGGCTGGTTTCTGGGGTTTTAAGCTAATCCTCCTTCTGTCTTCCAGTGACAGCTCAACCTTTAACATCTGGGATCATTAATGTGCACTCATGCTTCTGAGCAGGCTGCACAGAAAAGCATAAAAGAGGATAAGAGGCGTCCAGCCCCAAAGGACTTCTCTTAAAGTCTTCTTGACAGCCCATGGGACACCAGAGAGCATTTTAAAAGAGCTATCTGATATTTCACTGCATATCTCCAACTCCTTGTCTCACTTTGAAGCCTTTTACTGAAGCTACATTAAAAGTTGAAATAAAATTGTTCTGTGGCCCTGGCGCCACCAGGGGGCTAAAGGGGGCTTAGGCCCCTTAGTTGTATCTAAGTCTTATTTCAGTCTGTTTAAGCTTTATGTCTCTGATTGGCCGATGTACTTGTTACTATCGGGCCGCACTGTCCGTTGTACTGAAGCTGAGCAGCGGAGGTCAGTATACAGACAGAACACATCACTGGTTTCTTCTTCTGCTTGCTTTTTGTGGTTATAAACAGAACTTTTTTTCTAATTATCCCATTGTAGCAATCCACAGACAGAAGGGAAACAATGGGAAAGTGAAGGGACAGTCAGCTTTTACATGCCTTCTCCGGCTGATTTTGTTCATAGATTAGAAAAATATTTAGCGCTCTGCCAGTGATACATTCTTATGTCAGTGCTCTGATTAATAATGTGTTCTTTCACGGTAGCCTTATGCTGTTGTCACGTTGTAAGCCTATCGGATATGAACTAGACTGATGCCGACAGTGAAAAATGAGATTCAGTAATCAGAATCTGACTAATCTGCTGTTGTGAAACCCGTGTGATGCTAAAATAGGATGTGATCTTGTTACCATAACACTGGTGATATTTTGAGTAAAACCCAGAATTAGGTCTCATTTTTGAACAATATCAGATTTCGTCATTATAACTTTAGCTTTTTATTACGGTTGTTGTTTCAGTTTCTTCAAGGTAATATTTGCTTAAAATAATAGTTTTTCAATTTAAAAAAACAGTTTATTTTATTTGTTGCTTTTCCTTTTTTATGAGTCACTCCCTGTTTGGAAGATGTAAGAAATATGAACTTCTTGAAAATGACGAGTGCCAATCAATAAGGAGGTGGTCACGCCAACATAAGCAAACCACTACCCAGGGTTGTGTATGAGGATTAGGACAGATAAGTGTATAATAATGATTGTTTTAGAGGGGAATTAGTAGTACACTTAAATAAGGGAAGGACAGTGCATCAGCGTAATCAAATTGCTGTGGAAGTGCACTGCATACGCAAATGGGGACGGACGACCTTTGATGAAATTTGGAACATTTCATGAACATCAGTAAGTCAACCTTGTTTAATCCTCATTTTGTCCTCTTCTTTCCAGGAAACAGGAGCTGCTGAACATTTCCAACGTCCCTCTGGGAGAATGTCCCCCCTCACCGCCCCGTACTGCACCGCCCAGCATGAAGGTAGGACACCCACACGTTAATGTCCATGTGCACACATGTGGTGGGACATACATTTGTACACACATTTTAAAATAGATATTGATTTTATTCATTGGCATATTTTGCCCTCTAGACCTTTAAGCCTATTAGAAAATCCATTGATTCAGATTATCCACATTGAGAAATGTTTTTAGCAAGCAAAGCAGTTCAGAGACAGTGACAAATTGCAGTGTCACAACAACTTAAAGTTAACAACTTGACACATATTACATAACTACATTTAAAGCAAAGTGAGGTTTTGACAGGGTATTATGTTGTTTTATGTCACAACATTTATACTTATTTTATAACTCATGGCATGATTTTCTTGTCTGCCCTGCACTGGCTGTATATTATTGTAGCTCTTCAGTTTGCATCTATGTGAATCTATTTATCAATGTACATTATGTACATAGATTCACGGCATTACATGAGTTAAATACATACTGTACAGCTTGGACACACTGCACAATTTTTTGTTTTGTGCTGTTCTTTATGTCATACAATCTCAAGGTTATCAAGGCAATCAAAATTCAGGTTAGGGCAGCCTGTGTTCAAGAAAGATTCTTCATCATGTATTTCAAATATTGCTCTCAGAGAGAGTAAACATGACATTTTGTAAATCAAACTCTTCCCAGTTTTGCAGTGATTGCTTCTCCAGGCGTGGAGTGATGTAATTGTTTAAATGTCTGCTTGATATAAATGCAGATATTTGTTGAATTGCCTCTAACGGCTGGGGGAATACGATTCCAATATGCATCGCTCATGCTAAAACTTCCAATTTTAGCTCTATATTTTTCTCTAGTCATACTGTTACTCTACTTTTACTTTTCATTGAGCTTGACTTGTGTTTGGAAAACTAACCTTGTATACATGATCTCTGCTTTTATTTCCCCTCATTGGACTGCTGTTGTTTGCAGTTCTGGTATGACTTGTGTCTTCGGGGTGGGTTTCCTATCATTCTTAAAAGGTTGTGTTAAGAAAAAGGAGTTGCAATTGAATTATCCTGTGGTGTAGATTGGTTCATGACCAACCACAGTAGGAAAATGTTTGAAGCTTTATTCTCAGGCTAATTGTATCCTGACCACAAATTGTCAAGTTCAATCAAACTGTGTCATCAAAGGGAACTTTGGTCAAAGCTGTGACTCGGCAAATTGAAAAAATACCAGAGCAGGAACTGAATATGAATACAAATGAAATCTTTCTCAGCCGTTGTCATCCATGTAGCAACATATTATTGTGCAGCACATATAGAGAAAGCATTATACTATTTATATGAGATTGTGAGGTAGGATGTTTTCAGACATTCATTACTCACACAGCATTGCACTTACAGCTGAAGGATTTTTCATTCTTCCTCCAGCATGATAAGGGAGAGGATACATTTTGCACGGAGGCAGATTAGCAGGGTGATATACTGGAAATAGATGACGGCTCCTGTGAGAGGGAGCCACTTTCTGCAGTGTGTCACCTTGAACTAAGCCATCATTATTGAATCTGCTGAAGACAACACAGAAGGAGATAGCACAGAGAGAAGAGGAGAGGAATTGAAGTTTGCTCATGGGGAGAAAGACAGAAAGAGCTGATTGACTGAAAATGTGGTCATTCCAAGACTGGAATAAGACCGTAATCTATGAGAGAAAATGTAATATATCAAAGAAATATAACTCAAACCGGAAGACGTCAATTTTCTTCTCAATGTGTGGCTACTTTTTGGTAATTATCCGTCACCAACCCACAATTTAGCTGTGAGAAAGAGTGGTCTAATGGTCTGGCATTCTTCATCAATGTCACACTGGTAAAGAAGTTATGAAATGTATAATTCTCTATAATCACAGTTCACATCAAATCTATTCACAAGACTATACAAGTTTTGCCTCTAAGTCTCTTAGAGTACTCTCATAGACCAGCAACAACATCTGTATCTACCTTATCTCCCATGGCATCAAAAACAGTAAAATTTGACGACAAATAAAAACATATTTAACATTTGTTTTTTAAAGAAGGTGTACACTGGCCACTTTTCACGCATGGTAGTTTTGGCACTAATCTCAGGATATCTAATTCTCTGTTATGCATTTTATGTGCTGGATCATGCACTACTCATAAATACGAAAACATTCACATCTAATTGCACAGACTGCATGTCGTTGCTACACAGCGTAGTTATTGGCATTGCCATTCTGCGGCCATAAAGTTGAGTCTCCTTGGAAGCCACACTGGCACGGAAATGGGGATTTTATGCACCTGGCACACGTACTGCAGCACAGTACTGGAGCTACTGTGCACATATGTTCTTTCTTCAGGGGAATATTTGTCATTCTTCAATTAAAGAAAGAGAGTAGATAAAGTAAGGCCATTTTGTCTTTCCTCTCCTGTTTAAGAGGTTTGTTCAGTGGTTAGGACAGGTGTGTGCTCTCTATCCAGGCATTTCATGATGCGATTTTACACTGTGCGTAATATTAATAGTCAGACACTGCCACTGACACAGCAAAACCAAACTTAAACAGATCTTGGCCCACGTGGCTGACCTATTGTGTGTATTTTGTGTAGACACGTACACACTGGAATTACCTGTTCTGTTTTGACAAACAATTCAGTTTGCTGCCTGACTTGACTTTCCTGTTTAAGCTTTAGGCGTTAAAAGGCAGAATAGAGATTAAAAGAGAGCGAGAGGGAAGTCACTCTCTAAATGGAGAAGGGAGGTCAGAATAAGAGGAAGGCAGAGACACAGAGGGCTCAGAGGTTTTAGCTGCTGTTGTTAAGGTAAGTCTGCATTTTGACTCCAAAAACCACCAGATAGTCTGTTACTGGAAATAATTTTATTCATGTCCTATTGTTTTCAGATATCAATTATCCATCTACAAACAATCTACTTTAGGTATCAACTTACTCAAAATTGAACACATTTGTTTTGAAATGTTGTCTTCCATTCATCACTTCACTGCTCAGCAGCACGTTGATTACCATGTAAATACGACATCAGGGTTGCTGTGAAGTCTGAGTGAAGTTTGGAAAGCCGGCGGGGATAAAACACACTCCAGTGTCAGTCAGTGCTGCTAAGATAAAAAAGGAGCATGGCAGTTTCCATATAAGCCACTCAGAAGAATTTGCAGGGTTAAATTTCATGTTACATAGCCTACTTGTTCTGGAAGATTTTACAACTTCACATCCCTCAGTCAGTGTTGTGATTGAATTATTTATAGCAGATTTCCTCCCACATGTACAGTATTTCACAACAATATTTCATAACCCACAGACCAAGCCAAGGCAGTATCGACTGATGTATCAAATACAGATGTGTGTAGACATCAGCCAGTGTTTCAGGTGCCTGACAGAGCTGTGTTATAGCGATGCAATAAGGGTGTTTGTGTCTGACTGTACATCTGCCAGCTGAGAAGCCAGGGCTGTCAGCTCAGGCTCATCGTTTCATCCACACATCACCTATCTGACCAAGAGAAGGAGTTGTGTTGTGGGCAGGAGAGAAGAGTCTGTGGAAATACTGTCCGGTCATGCGAGGACAATGCTAACTCTGGCTGAGGTGCCGGTATTTTGAACAAGTCCGACTCATGTTACAAACAGATCTGAACTGCACTTGCCTCAGTAGGATTAAACAGCAGAGAAAATAAATAAAGCAGTTATTATTGAAAGAAAGACACACAGTAACCACCAGCGAGGAAATTTAGCTTGTTCCCATTTAATTCCTTCCCCGAGCTTTCAATTAGTCTTTCTGATAAAGTTAAATTCTGTAATATTGCTTTAATCCGTGAGATAACACGATGAAACATGGAGGCCACTTTCCCTGTCTGTGACTTATATGCACCGCTCTCAATGTGCCGATGATACTGTTCATGACTTTACATGGATATGTGTGAATTCTTGCAGTCAGTGAGTCTGTCAGTCAGTCAGTCAGTCAGGCAGGCAGGCAGGCAGCTGGTCTGATCTGCCTGTGGTCTGTGGTAGTCCCAGCGGGTTGCCATGGGAGATAAGAGATACAGATGTTGTTGCTGGTCTAGAGAGAAAGAGACTTAGAGGCAAAACACAGAAAGAGAGAGAAAGTAGTAGAAAGAGAGAAAAGGAAAAAGACATAAACTGGACAGAAAGGAAAAGACAACAGAGTGTTAGGAGAGAAGAGAGGACAAATTAGCCTAGTGAGACAAGAACAGAAAAATGAAAAATGACAAATACAGACATCCTGTTTTAGATTGACAGAGAGGCAGAAAGATGGATAGGTGTCTCTTGTCCTTGCTCTTGTCTGCTCACTGTAGGGGATATAGATGATGATTGAACACACTGTCAGCGGTACACTCAAACACTGCCAGGACAAGCTGCTTCAGTGTGTATTTTAAACTGTCATGGTCAACAGTCTGCGAGGACGTGTTGCTCACACCTCAACAGGTTCAAAGGGGAAAAAAATGAATGCAGATTTTTAGGAATACGGTCTCTTTACTTCCTCTTGTCGCCCTAATATGATCCCAGTAACCACTAAACCACACATACACTCACATAGACACACAGACACACACACCCGTCTTGGTAATGTGCATGAGAGCGCATATTGACTGCCAAAGTTGCTATCTAAACAGCTGTGCTTATTGTTGGTCTTGCTGTCTGGTGTTGACTCTGTATGTCCAGCCACAGCGCCATATCAGCTAACAACACCTTTAACTGGTTAATATTAACTCCTTGATAAGCTCTGCATGTGTGTGTGGTTCTGTCGGGAGTGTGAGTAATGACAGATTTATAGGTTTTTTACATAAGTGCAGGTAACCAGTGTAGGAAATAACATTAGTTTTTATTATAGTGCTGTCAAAATATAGTAATTTACAGTTTTTTACTACTGGAGTACAGTCGTTCAAAGGGCTGTAAAACACCAGCTAATCACCTTTCCAGACTTTCCTGGTTCGGGAGCTTACGGTTTATCGGTAAGGCATTTATTTCCAGGTTCCTTCTTGCTTTGTATTTTGTATCTGCGGTATTGGTTGTCACTTAAAGTAGGTTATAGTTGATTTTTTGCCGATGAAAGTGGGTCATTTATTTATTTTTCCATTAGTTACAATGTATTTCAACAGCAATACAGGGGCAAAGCCATTTAAAGAGGAAGTATAGCACGTTTGTTATATGTCTTTGTGAATTTCTTCCTTAAAACCGGACGCTTTCTTAACAGGAAATTTAATTTAATGCCATGAATTGACTTCTCCTGCGTGTGAGTGAGTGTATACATGCGCGCAAACACACACGTATATCATGTATCACCCTGCCTGCACACATTTGCACATTAGAAATGTGCCAAAATCTGAGCACAGAGACACAAAGCATGTAGACCATTATCACCCTCAAAAGTTGTTTATGTGAAGAGGTGGAAACCCCAAGGGCGAGGACGTGTGAATGCACTCAAGGATGCATGTGTTTGTATGAGCGTGTCTTACTTTCTGAGGAAGTGGTTGCTTATCAGCGTGTGTGCATGTGGGTGTGAGAGGTTGTTGGGAAAGTCTCTCCCCTGCCCTCTTGACACAGCTAGGTTTACACTATAATACGCAGTGAGCTGGTCAGCAAGATCTGCTGCTGTCAAGACCAATGTTACCCGATGTAAGACCATTAAATTAGGATTATTTTGGTTTTGCTTTGAGTGTGGAAACACCTGTATAAGGTGTAAATAAAGCCAACTAACGGCAACAACTGAGCTGTTGTACTGACTGAACCTGTGTTTAATTTGGTGTTCTGAAAGTCAAAGTTTAGCAATGTTATACCCTGTTTTACATGTTTTGTAACCTTCTTCTATCTGGTTCAGTCTGCAGAGTTCTTCGATATGCTGGAGAGGATGCAGGTATGAAATTCCCTTCATTCTTTCCTGTCAATCCAATTTGTTTTCCTTTACAATCCTTGCATTTCTTTCTTATTTCACCATTTCTAATTCCTTTCATTTCCTCTTTCTCTTTCTCTTTGGCTAATATTGTACTACTGAGCAAAAGTTGCACATGTGCAGTGTAGCAGCATGTTTGTGCCATCAGGAGATTCTTACTCTGGGTAAAACTTCAAACATGAACGTACTGTGAGATGGTGTTTAACATACACAAGGATGAGACAGACATTGATGATTCAATCAGTGTAGGTCATCCCGCTAAGTTCATTCTGTAGTACAGATTGGATAATGGACACACTGTGGACAGAGAATAAAAGCTCTGAACTGACATAACTATTGTGTCCTTCTCTGTATGGAATTCATTCAATTCATAGATTTTTTAAAGTCTGTCTCTCTCTGTGTGCAACCACTTTCTACCATCCACAGGCCCCTAAGGGCTTTGAGTAGTCTGAGGACTGATAGAAAAGAGAGAGGAGGAGAAAGAAAGTGGGAGGTGAAATGAAAGGCCCAGAAATAGAAAGAGGGAACAAATGGCAAAAGGAAGATAAAAAGATGTGCTTTTTGCAAGTTTTTTGGGGATAAATAATGGCTCACGGTCCACTATGAGATCTCTTAAATGTATAAATATGGTGCACCAGGTCTAGTCTCTGGAAATGTTCATAATAGAATGACCTTTACTAATCAGACTTGCTTTGCATATATAGTCAGTGTGAATCACTGAAAGGAATGAGTTAGACAAAGTTAGTTTTATGCAGCAGCCCATGAAAGCCTTCACTACTTCGTTTTTTAAATTACCCAAAAACGAAGTAGTGAAGGCTCTTCCACTTCACACAAAGGCTTTTTTTTTAGTCCTAATTTTTCTTAAAGGATTAAGACCTTCAGGAACGGGGATGTGAACAATAACAAATGCTAAATACTTGCCTCGAATATGTCAAAACATCAAAACTATTCATACCAGCAGCAATCCAAATTAGCGACTTGTTAAAAAAAATTAAAACCACATACACTTATGCAGACCCAGCAGGACGGCAGCTTGCAGAGCTCCCAGACGTCTTGGGAGGTCAGATTTCAGCACTGAACAGCCCACAGATAGAGAGGTTGCATTTACCAGGTGCATCTCAGCTGTCCGTCCAGGCTCTAGTCCAGTCTGGACCGCTAAGATGTATTATTATGTTAAAACACCAAAGTCACACAAACAAGCTAAAAGTAAAATTACTGTTTTTGTGGGTTTTGAAGAGCTTCTGGATGTTTCAGAGGGAGCAATCATCTTCCCAAGTCTCTTTTATCACATTGTCTTTAGAATTGCTGTGTCCTTTGTCATATAATACAGGGTGATGAGAAACATAAACAGTCAACAGGTCCGCCATGAGTTGTGACGTGATGTCTCTCCTGCACAGTGTGATTGGTTGATGCCTTTATTTGCAGTGCGAAAGCTCAGGAAAAAAAACAAAATAGCCTCAGTCCAGAAAAAATCTCCAATGCTTTTTTGCTGTGTCATATTCACTTTCTGTGTGAGAGTACTCATGACAAAAACAACAGTTTGATAAAAAAAATAAACATATTGATGTGCAAAAAAAAAAACTGTGTAAAGGCCTTTAGTCTGGTTATATTCTGTATTTTCTTGTTATCAAAAGATCACATAATAAATAGCAAAACTAACAATTAATTGATGCTACTAACAAGTATGACCTATGTAAGCCTAACATAGCTTAAACCTCTGTCACAGAGCTGCATTGCTTTTCAAAAACACATAAGTGAACCACACTGTTGCACCTTTATTAAGATAAACATGAACTGTAGCATATTATGAATAAATCACATAGACAGCATCCTGCTGCTTTCAATAATCACTAGAGCACCACATTTGTATTAATCCACTGAAAATAGTTCCCAACAAATGCACTATTTACCCTTGTTTGAGTAATGTTTGCTAAAAACTACAGCACTCAGGTGTTTTAAGAAATGTCTTAGTGATTTTTAAAAATAAAGACATATTTTGGAGACCCTTTTTTGAATAAATGAATAGGCTTGTGGTTGAGTGTTGCAGACAGGGTAAGGAAGTTGGAAAGTATTGAGAGGAACTAAGAATATTCTTAGTTTTGGTCTTAGTTGGTTTGCTGACAATAAGATAAATTTAGAATAAGTCCAGCCTCATCCTCTAAGTTTGAATCACGACTTCCTTAAATAACAGAAGGGGAAAGGTAGAAAGGTGCTGTTCAGGGATATGAAGTAGAATAGGCTGACTGAAGACATCAGTAGAGTTATTTGGAAAGTGTGACTGGTGGATGACAGTCAGTCAATGCAGCCTGGTGATCAAAGAGTCACACACACACATACACACACACACACACACACACACACACAGAAACTGTGCACCTCATCCATCTTATCTGAACCTCAGCTTGCATCGACCTGCTCTCTTGAGCTCTGCCACCTCTAACTAACATTTGGAACTCAACTTTCCAAGTGTGCTTCAACACTGTAAACTAGATGGCGCTGATAAAGGTCACCTTTTTGATCCCAATCTCCTCTCTCTTCCCTCCTTTCTTCTTCCCCTCCTAACTTCACCTCCCCACCTCTCCCTCCCTCCTCTCCCATTGTCTTGTCTTCATCTTTGTCTCTCTGTCTTTGACTGAAAATTAAAGCCTCTTAAGAGCGTCTTTGTGATCAGTCTCGCATTGTTGACAATGACTCCCCTGTGAGTGTAACAGCTGCTGCTTCATCAATATGCACTCAGACACACACACTATTACAGACTGTGTGTGTGTGTGTGTGTGTTGGGTCCATGAGTCTGTGCTTGTACTGTTCAAATGAATGCTGTCTGATTCTTGGTATGATTGGTAGTAGTGTGTATGTTCAGCACTCTGAACTGCCACACATGCGTTCATTTCCTCACGTCTTTGCTCAGTCATGTAGATGAGCTGTTCCACTGGGCCTGTATCATAATTGGCCAATTTACTTTGTGTTTACCAGATTGGCTTTTCATATCTGCATATATATACAAAACACTGCAGACTGAAAAGGCCTCGGCCTGCGTCTCAGTGCTGCTGTGCCCCAAAAATAGGCTATAACAAATGAGGAAAGGAACACTTAGCATGTCTGGAAGCTGCATTCAGAGAGAGAGGATGACTAAGTGTCTGTATTACCTGCGTGTGTGTGTAGGAAAGTTCATTTGCATGTATGACTCATTCAGTTGTCATCTGGCAACAGAGAAAATTAGGTCTGACGACAGGAATGCTATGTTCCAGGACAGTTGTTTAAATGCACAAAAATGAACGGAACTTGCTTTTTGACTCTTGTACTTTTCCGTTTCATGCTGCATACGGATACTTAAGGTTCCTAAAGCTGAAGAGACCAAAAGATGGAAGGTGTGGCCATACACCAGACATACACCTGTATAAATCTCATTAGTTTGTGTTATTATGCCCTCCACTTCTCTGCATGTTTTTCTCCATCACTGCTTCATCGTGCCTCCTGATTTGTTCTGTGTTCGTTCTTGTCTCATCTGTCAGCCTATGAGGGATTGTGAACACCCCTGTGAACACTTTAAAATTTTTCTCATGGCTTTTAAAATGCAAAATCAATAACCTCTTGATCTGATTGATTATAAGTTGAATGGACTCCAACTGTCAATTGATCCTCTCTGGACTGCCAGTATCCTGGCTCCTGCTGCTGCAGAATATAAATGACTAGCTGTCCGTAGCGCTGCACTCTCGGTGCTGCAGACGGGCCTCAGCAGTATTTAGAGGTCACTGGAGCTGTGCTACGCTAGCAGACTGCCAAACGCCTACAGGCTCATAGCAGCTCTTAACCCTCGGGGCTACTGAATCAAAACAGCTCTGACATCATCAAGGGCTGACACGCCCTCCTTGATGACTATGCATTTCAGGCTGTTGCATCATCGCCCGAGAGTCCATTTGGCATGAAACTGTGTTACCTTTCTGTACCTGTGGCTTGCTTGCAACTGTATCATTGTGGTGAAAGTCAGTGAAAGTTCACTTTTGTTAAAATGTGCCTTTTTAGTAGTGTATGTCCTCTGTTTTACAGGATGACTATATCCCCTACCCACGGATAGAAGATGTGAGTCATTTCTCACTCATATAAAACACTCATTAACACTTATTATCTGGAACCACTAGCTAAAAGTGTTTCCTACAATAGATAATACATTTAAAGTTGAAGTACTTCACATTTTGTACTATTACGTGCTCAACAACTTGGCCTTAGGTTAATGAAACTTTGCATAGTATTACATTACCTACATATTTATCTACCTCCCTTCCTCTCTGCTGCCTTTCTGTCCAAGGTCCTTGAGAAAGGTGGTCCTTACCCCCAGGTAATCCTGCCACAGTTCGGGGGTTACTGGATTGAGGATGTGGAGGCACCAGCAGGGACCCCCTCCTCCTCAGAGTCCAGTTTCTGTGAGGAGGAGGACGGAGGAGAGGGCATGAGCCCTGGTGGGGGGCACAGCTACCGCCTGGAGTGCAACAGCACAGCCCGAGCCTACCGCAAACACTTCCTTGGCAAGGTTAGTGTGTGTTTGTGTGTGTATATTCATGTCAGATTCACCATGCTTTTAGCAAGGGTCCATTATTGTGTTTGACCACAAATCTTTCTCTCTCTCTCTCTCTCTCTCTCTCTCTCTCTCTCTCTCTCTCTCTCTTTCTCACATCCTTTTTTCTACACTCATGTGTCCAGGAACACATGAACTACTACTGCACGGGCAGCAGCATAGGCCACCTCATCATGTCTTTGAAACACGAGGAGGCTGAGGGACAGGAGTACCTACGCATCATGCTCAGGTACAATGACAGAACTGAATGCACTGCCATTTGATGTGTTTCATGTGTCAAACTGTAAAGTATGACTTACACCATGAAAACATATCAGCACTACATCCTTAATGTAGAGTTTTACTCTTTTTTGGTATAATCCATGTTTCTCTTGGGTCCAGGCTATTAAAGTCTGTCTTAAACGTGTCTATTCTCCCGGTCTGCTGGTTTTCTTCTTGTTCTTGTTAGTGATGGGCCATACCAAAAATCACAGTTTTTAATCCCATACCAAGGTACAGAGGATTTACAGGACTGAGAGTCTACAGCCAGACAAATTTAACTTTTGACCTGGAAGTGGCGATAGATAAAAAGTCAGATGATCATCAGAGTGGTTACAAATCATCCTGAGGGGGACATATAAGTCTTTACCAAATTTGATGGTTATCCATCCAGCAGTGGTGTGTCACTGTGTCAACCTCACGTGGCACTAGAGGAAAACTTAGGTGATTACCAAAGACAGGAGGAATCATCCTCTGGGGACTATGAATGTCTGCACAAAATTACATAAAATACATGTTGTAGCCTGGACTTTCAGTGGTGGACCAACGACAAATTGGTTTGGGTTTTACTCCTCCTTCCTCTTTTCTTTTCTGTAGCAGCTCTTTATGTTCTTTGTCATGATTACATCTGAGCAGATTTGTGGTGATGTATTGGACAGCTTTCTTGCCATTGTCACAGTTGGTGACATTTTCATTAACAGGCGAGAAAAACAATTAAATAATGCTATGTCTTTGATTAGAAATTGTGGGGGCTGCAGAGGAGACTGTAGCCATGTGATGGCTAATCTGGCTTTTGACAGCTGACAGTGATAATGCCCGTAATATCGCCTCCATTATTGGTACATTTGTTTCTGAGACTAAACTCATCATGACCATAGCTTTTCTCTAATTTCATCTAAGAAGCATGAAAAGCATACAAGCCAGGTCTAAAGTTATCATCTAAAGTTAAAAAATCTACCTCATCCTCTTCTTGTTCTGTTGCAGGTCAAGGATCAAAACAGTCCATGACAGGATCTCTTTAGCAGGCATAAACCAGCTGCCCAGTGTACCCCAGATTGCCAAGGTAAGAGACAGTTTACAAGTACTCAAGGTTTAAAAATAGGCATTTGCCATGAATGTCCTACATTCTCCACGTACACATAGCAATAAGTGCAGGATTCGATGTATGGAGACTGGCTCGCACTTAACTGAAAGGCTTGAGGGGGTAAATATTTTTCAACTGATTCCATACTTTATATCCTCTCACAACAGAACCTTAACTTTTCCAAAACATAAAAAAACATAATGCAACACAAAAGCATTCGACAAAATCAGGCTTTGACTGATTCCTTCAATGACAGAGATTAGTCTGTGGGGTGCTGAAAAGGCCTGCCAAGTCCACATACTTCTTTGGATATACTCAGTGGTAGGAGAGACCTGTCACGTAATAAACACAGCTGTGAAGATTCTGGCGATGGTTTAAGTAACCACTCAACCAGAGCTCTTTTGATTGCTTGCTTTCCCACATTAAATGAAGAAAAGTACCAGCTTGCTTTATCTTTACGCTTCCAACAGTAGTTACCATCCATGAGTCGCTTTTGCATTTGATGTTTTTTTTATACTCTGACATGTGATTCAGTGATCCAGTCAGGGATAGAAAGGTATTACATTCTGTAAGCAAATGCGGTGATAAACCAAGCATGTACACCAAGCACATTATTAGGATTTTTAGATGGCAAGGAATATTTTAACTTCTGAATACATTTATACAGATTTTGAATTAATTTGCAAATGAGCTTTTGTGCATGAACTCAGTGGTATTAAAATCATTTTTGGATCTTCCAGTGGGCATATTTTCCAGTATATATAATGAGATATCTCTCATACTGTATGGTATCAGTCAAATATACTAAGTCCCTTTTTTCTCTTTCAGCTTCTGTGTGATGATGCCACAGGGCTGAAGTTCAACCCGGTCCTATACCCTCGGGTGAGTTTATTCTAAACTCCCACACTGTGACCTCATTAATAATATGTATGTTCATATATAGCCAGTTATAAATGTATTCATTCAAACTGACATGAGTTACCCTTCCCTGTCTCTGTCTGCGTCTGCTGAGAGACAAAGGGGCACTAGAGTTCAAAGTGCTAATGCTACATTCAGTAATATCTGCCTCAACTTTAATACATTTCATCTGCAACTTTTCATATTCTGCACATCCATAAATATTTCATGCCCTTTACTTAAGGCCTGAGGCATTTTTTTTTAAGTGTTTCCTTTAATTATGTTTGCCAGCATCGCCCACCTGTCCCTACACCAACGCCTTCATTAACTTTTCACCGTCATCAACCCTGTTTCACCCAACGCTTAACCAGAAGCATACATCTCATCACATTTACCCTCCTAAGCCCCCCACCTCATTAACACCTGCCATGTTTAGCAGGTACATTATTCAAAAATGATTGATGATATTAAAAGAGGGCGACAACTTCCTAAAGTGGATACGATTGATCTGTTCTCCTCCCATGAGCCCTGTGGAGGAGTGTGATGGAGCATGCTTTCAGCCTGTGCCTCGGGAAAGGAAATAAAACCCATCTGTGTCTCAGTCTGTAAGAGGCAGCGACAAGCTCATTGCCCTTCGCTGAGGGGCTGTGACAGTATGTTACATGTCAGCCTTACATAAGAAAGGCCCAGTAAACCTGCCCTGGAGACATGATGGAGAACAGGAAAACATGTTTTGCTCCCTACCACAGCGAGAAGAAAGTGTTTAACAGTCAGATAAGTAACCACAGGGAGTAAGTAATAAATTGTTGTCTTTGTGTATGTACAGGGATCCCAGTTGATAGTGGCTTATGATGAACACGAGGTGAACAACACTTTCAAATTTGGAGTCGTCTACCAGAAGTTTGGACAGGTGAGTGATCACCTGTATGTTTTTCTTGTTAGTAGTCATGTTTCCATCAATGTATTTTTATGTACATGTTGAAGCATCCCATTAGAAAAGGTTGATGGAAATGGCAAAACTTAAAAAAGTATTCAATTTCATTGAGGGTGGGGGAGATGAAGACACTTTCTTCAAATAAGTTCTGGCGTAGCGAACATTTAACTCACAGGACTGATGAGCTGTTTCTGCTACAACAGTCTCCTCATCGCTCCTGTGGCTCTATAATACATCCATGATCGCTCCACACAGATCTGATGTGACCTCCCTCACATTAAAATATGAAACAAACAGAAATGTCTTATTTCCATTGTGTTTTCTCCATTGTTTATCAATCACGTCATCTTGTTGTGCCCTCTTCCGGATTTTCCAACTGGAGAATTGGCTCCACCTACTGCTTATCTCAATGAATCAACTCCTAATAATCGCATAGCGCTAGTGGATAGAAACAAGTGTTTGTTTCCATTTTCTTTTGCCAAGTTACTCGAAATTTGGTTAAAATTTGCGATACATTTGGATGAAAACACGGCTGGTGTCAGTGTACTTCAGGTTATCTCACATATACCATCTGACCTCATGCACCTTTTTTTTTAAATCTCTTTAATCTTTCACCCTGTTTTCTGTCCTCCCATTTTTGTGTCTCTTCCTCTCAGACGTCAGAGGAAGAACTGTTTGGGAACAATGAGGAGACACCAGCTTTCAAGGAATTTCTCAGTATCCTGGGCGACAACATTGAACTCCAGGACTTTAAAGGGTAAGAGCAGGAGTAGAGTGCGACTAAATAAGAGAAAAGAAGCAGAGTAAAGTGCAATAAAACCTTTTTTAAAAAATGAGGGCAATATTCAGAAACATAAAACTAAACAGAGACCAGAGAAAAGGGTCTATGCACAAAAAGGTTGCCATGGAAGTGCTTGGCAATAAAGGAGAATAGCAGGCTTTAATTACTGTAACCTTGGAGCAATTTGTCCAGCTGTTCTGGCCTCAGGGTGCAAGCAGGATAAACTGCTTAGTGAAACAGATCTGAGAAAAGAAAGTGCCACATGGACAGGTAATCAGAGCTTTGTACACTGTGTTTATTGTCTTGCAGGCTTTTTTTAAATTGTGTTACACTTGTTACTTTTACTGTTAAGGGTGGCTTTGAACTGTAGCTTACACATTATTACAGCAAACTGCAAACACTTTTGGGTGGCACTGGAGCTAGTTAAGCCCAAAACGAAACTGACATTAAGAATATATGGAATAAAATCTTATCTTCTTACTGAAGGTTGGTCGCCACACAGAGAGCATGACACATGTGCTTTGATAATGTGACAGGTTCCGCGGTGGGCTGGATGTGTCCCATGGACAGACAGGGTCTGAATCTGTCTACACTGTCTTCAGACAGAGAGAGATTATGTTCCATGTGTCAACCAAACTTCCCTTCACTGAGGGAGACGTCCAGCAGGTAAAAGACTTTAATACTGACTTTATTATTGTTGCACTGCAGGCACTATGGATTTAGCTGCAAAGCCAGGACCCTTTGGCTCAAATATATCAATATTAAACTGGTCCGGTCTAGCTATTGACAATACGTTAACTTGTTCTCCTGGCTAAGTTGCTGTTATGTAAGGTGTCGCTAAATCAAACAGTTATTTGATTTGAAGCTGCAAAAAACCTCCTTAGAAACCAATAAATCCCTTTTGCAATGCGGTCAACGTGTCCTAGAAGACTTATAAATAGTACTGTTTTTTTTTTTTTTTAAACGAAACCTGTTGACTAATAAGTCTTCTCCTCTCCGCTTCTTTAGCTCCAGAGGAAAAGGCACATAGGAAATGACATCGTGGCCACAGTCTTCCAAGAAGAGGCCACACCGTTTGTTCCTGACATGATCGCCTCCAACTTCCTGCATGCTTATGTCCTGGTGCAGGTTGATAACCCCTGTACAGAGCACACAACATACAAGGTATAAAGCAGACCCCTTAAATGTGTAAATCACACAAGCTGTAAAGACTTTGTGTGCTAGTGGTCCTTCTTGGCTGGGCACAACAAAGTTATTGATGAATCACTCATCACTCGATGGCGATGTGTTCCTTCACACTTTGTCTCGTCCTCCCAGCTTGAAACCAGAGCCCTCCTGAAATACACGCTAATAAAGTGTGACTATTATTTGTTTTATGTCAACAGGTGTCTGTTACAGCCAGGGAGGATGTGCCTCCTTTTGGACCCCCTCTCCCGAACCCAGCTGTCTTCAGAAAGGTGAGCGACAGAAATATATCTGATTGAAATGTTCACCTTGACTCGACAAATTCCAAAAATGACCCCAAATAACACCAATGGCTTCACATGGACTTTAGCTCTTTAGCTGGATTAAGTGTTATCCATTTTTCTGACGATGGCAAAACTTTATTAATTAATTAATCCAACAACAATATTAATATTAATTAATTAATCCAACAACAGCCAATCACACAGAAGGGAAAACATGCGTTTGGCTAAAGAGGATACTTTTCCGTGTTCAAGAAAAGCCGAACTTACCTAACAGACCAATACACACCTAATCAGTTTGCTTTTAAATGGCAAAATGTTGAAAGTAATTACAAATTTTAAAACATATTCAATATTTTTTTATGTACTAGTAGCTGAATGCAGGACTTTTACTTGGAGTATTATTACGTATCATTTAATAGAATATTTTAACATTGTTGCATCGCTACCTCAGTATGGGACCTGAGTTTTTATTGTAAGTTTTTAAAATGTTGTTATTTAAAACAGGTTAAACAGTTTAATGTTTGGGTCCACATTAAATAACTGTTACCCTTCTCTTTATCTAGTATTTTGACATTAGTCTAAATTACTTTCTTTATTTTAGATAATTGTCACAATGGGGAAACTGCATTGTGTCATCATCATAGTGTGCTACAACACTGTAATCTGTATGGTGCTGATAAAGGTCACCTTTTCCTTTACTCATTGTTGCCTCCCACCCTTGTGGTTCATTGTCTAAATCTATGTCCTCTCTCTCTCTCTTTCTCTCTGTCACTCTCTCTCTCTCTCCAGGGTCCTGAATTTCGAGACTTCCTGCTGACAAAGCTGATCAATGCCGAAAACGCTTGCTACAAATCCGACAAATTCGCCAAACTAGAGGTGACACACGTTCACACAACGGCACTCAAAACACCCCAGCATGCCTTCAATCACCGCACAGCTTAATCACCGCCCCGATGCTTGCCTACATGAGTTTTGTGTGTGTGAATTGATTCCAGGGGAGAACGCGAGCCGCACTGCTTGACAACCTCCATGACGAGCTGCACAGACAGAGCCAGGCCGCGCTGGGTCTGGGCCAGGCCGGGGAGGAGGACAAGCTGGAGAACGGGGGACACGGGGGTCTGCTAGAGTCCTTCAAGGTGAACATAAACATGGACAAAAGCATAGGTGACACCATGTAATCTTCACTCAGCTCTGTGGCATTTATTGAATCGCCGTCGTTACAGCACAAGAGTGTGAGGTTTTCTTGCTGTAGGTCAACTAAATGTCACAGGTCTGTAAGATGACTTAAGGTGCTAAACCACGGGTAGCATTATTGCTGCTGCTTTTATGGATGCTCGAAGATTTTCACCTTATGTGTGTGGGTGTGTGAGCATGTAGGCATATGCATCCGCATGTGTGTGTGAAAATGACCACAAACACTTCGGTGCTTATGAATTTGTAAAACAAGAAACGGTCTCTTTCTTTCTCTTTCTTCTCTCATTTGCCATCTGACTCTTTCTTTCTCATCACTCGCTGTCTCTTAACACTCTTTTGCCCATAACTAAAGGCTAAGTGATGTTAATAGGACCATTAAAATGTGTATTTCCGTCTGTGTGTGTGAGATGAATGTGTGACTAATGGGACAATTTGGCTCTCTTACTCTTCACAGGCATTATGGACAGCTACTTTGCACTTTCTGCAGTCAGTACCAGGGGGCGCTGTTCTCATTGCTGTCCTGGCAGTCGCTGTGTATTACCTGTCTGCATTACTGTAAATCCAACAGAGGATCATCACATAATTAAAATAAACATTCTTTTATATGATGTTGTTTGTGTTTATACTTTCAAATAAAATAAGCACTTCATGCTGTGTCTGCAGTAGATAGCAGAATTAAGAATGACACAACATTTTTATTTCAATTTTAATGACTGGAATTTATTATGGACTAGACAAATTGCAGTGAATCATGTTATCAATGGGCTAAGTGAATATAAAGCTACAATAATAAGGATTAGTACAACACATGTTCGATTATCTGCTCCAACTCCATTGGCTTCTTCTTGGAGAACTGCGTCCTCTGGTGGTTATATGGTGCAATAACATCTATGAGCCTAAATATTAATTCATACATTAAAATTAATGAGGCTTTTAAAATGATAAAACCTCACTTTTGTTCAGTACCTCCATTTCACTTTCCACCCCCCCCCCCCCTCCTGTCCTCCCATGAACACTTTCCCTGTCACCAACTAACCTTCTTCTGTCCCTTTCCTCTGTGCTCCTCCTCTCTCCTCATCCACTCATTTTCTTGTTTCCTCTCCATCCTCCAGAGAGCCATGCGTGTCAGAAGCCACTCCATGGAGACCATGGTGGGGTCCCACCGTCACAGGAGCCCCGGGGTAGGAGGTGGGGTCCCAGCGAGCGTGAGTGGAGGAGGACTGCCGCAGAGCACCAGCGAATGCACAAAGAGCACCTTCACTGTGAGTAAAAGGGTATAATGAAGGGAACAGTGAAAGTATACCAACTTAAATCTGTATTACACTGAATATCATCATGCCATGCGCTGTATGTCAGTCTAGGACACACTCAAAGTACAATACTACTAATAAGAAAAAAGTAAAATTACATGTGTTGTCCTTTTATATCATGTACAGTATGCAGAAAGACAATGCTTACCAGTAAATTATGCAATTTTTAGGTGACAATTATTTAATTAGTTATGAAGGTCACATTTTAAAAATAGGAGCCTTATTCTGTAATCTATGATCTTCAGCCTCCTGTGTTGTCAGCCAAGTCTCCTCTGAAGAGCCCAGTGAAACGGCGTTCAGGGCTCTTCCCTCGTCTCCACTCCAGCACAGACACCCCATCGGACAAACACACACGCAGGTAGGTGGTTAGGACTCGCTGTTTCACATGTCGCTGCGTTTCCCGATCAGTATCATTGAACATGATTACGTTACAACACCACAGACACCAACATTGTCTGTGCTATTATACAGGTTGTGGGAGTCCAGGAAGTCGTCATGTTGGTGATGTCATTAATGTGTTTTGGGGTTTTTTTTGTCTGCAGCGACCAAAAGCCTGCAGAGACCTGCCCACTGTCCCAGGAGGTGAGGTCAGAGACATCATCCAATCCGAGCTCACCTGAAATCTGCCCCAACAAAGAGAGGTAAGATAAAGTCTCATTTCTGTAGAGGGAAATGGCTAAATGCAAACTGACGAAAGTGGGACGACATGTGATTTTTAACTTCTCATCTCTGTTCCCCTCTGTTTTGCTTAACAGGCCGTTTATCAAGCTGAAAGAGTGCAGCAGCGGCAGGCCGAACATCTCCCGTTCTTCATCCAGCACCAGCAGCTTCAGCAGCACCACAGGAGAAACAGAAGCTCTGGAAGAACTGGAGACAGTGAGTGCTCTTACACTCAATGAGAAGAAAATGTGTACAAAATCTGTCCCACTTTATCTGAGAGCAGAACTGGAAACACATTCTTAAAGGAGCGTGAGGTTGTGGGTAGTGTCAACGTTTTCATGGATGAGATAGTCTGTAATTACCAAGAATTGTCTAATAGAGAGTGTTGACTGTCAGCACATTGATTATAATGATTACAGCTTCTTTCACTTGCTTTATGTCAGATGACACTGCCTGTCAGTGTTGTTTTATTCTCACCATTTAACTGGATGGGAATCAATGTGCACAGTGTGGTGTTAAAATTGTCATGTTGATCATTGAAGGCCAGTTAAAATAGTTAAAGTAGTGCTTGGATGCATTATGTAGCAGTAAAGTGCACCAGTGATTGTCACAAGAGGAAATATGGATCATTTCATACCTTTCTTTGCCTTAAAAGAGCCTCTCCTCATTCAATTTTGATCTGGTAGGGATTTTTTTTTTTTAAGTTTTACACAGCTAGCTGTTTCCCCCTTGCTTCAAGTCTTTATGCTAAGCTAAGCTAACCGGCTGCTAGATGTAGCTTCACAAAAGTGAATAGGTGTATTTTACAAAATGTTGAACTACTGTATTGCTTTAAAACTATGTGTAAAAAAAGTTTGATCTTTATTATGCAAATGAGCAGATACACTATATAATGAAGGCTCTTCCCTGCAAAGCATCCTGTCCCCTCAACATCCAGCTGTACTTCATGTGCTGAAAATTCAGTACCTCTAACTTTGCTGACAGGAATGTTCAACATCACTTCCTTTATTAATTGAGGCTCTTCAGTTTCTTTCATCTACCTCCATGTTAAATTTCCTTCTGCTCTCACCGTCCCCCAGGCCAGCCATCCCTCTATAGCGTCCTCCTCTGCCTTCAGTCCTGCCCTCAGTGTCGACAGCCAGGGATCAGGTACCCCTGTCATCATGTGCCGCAGTCCAACAGGTAAACCTACGGTTTTAAATACAGACACACTGAGAGTATTCAGATCCTATGGTCAACATTTGAACAGAATTACATTCTAGAGATGACAGATTTTAGTTTACTTTGTTCAGCATTTTCATCCTTTTTTTCCACATTCAGCAGATGGGAAAAGTAAGACGTCACCGAGGTCAAACTTGAAGTTCCGCTTTGACAAAATGAGCCATTCGTCGACTGCTGTAAGTCTTGTAATGCCTGTCTGGTTAATCAGTATTCTTGTAAAGCATGTATTCTTGTCACAAAGTGCTGATAAAAAAATTGCACATCAAACATATCAAAACATTTCAAGGTTATAAGCACAACATGACATGTGAGTTAACAGAATGATTTCAACAGGCCTTAAGCAATAGTGTGTTTTTGATACTCACTGTCCATCTCCTGGACATGTCATTATCTCTGGATCACTGTAATGTCATTGAAACAGCAGAGCTGGTGTTGGGTAATTGCCCCAGATTGAAAGATGCATGCTTTCAGCAAACGCTCACCTCTAACTGGCCTCTCTGTTCACTTTTCTCTCTTTCAGCCTGAGTAGCTTTGTGGAATGGAAATAACAGAATTGCACAACAAAGGGACCGCACGGGCTGACGGAGCTGCAAAAAAAAAAAAAAAAAAAAAAATCCCAACATCAACCACAAACTCACTGTAGAACCGCTTCCTTAAGCCACGGATAATCTGACAAGATTACCAACTGCACCAGAGTCCCCACACACTATAAACTAACTGACAATACTGTGAGTGTATAGTGCGGAGAAGCAGCTGACATGTTGGCTTTCTTTGTAACCAACCTTTAGCCACATAAACGACATACTTTGCCAATGTTACAAGTTGCTGCATCTCAGCTGTTAATTGTTCACATCACATGGAAGTCCTAGCATGGCTGTAATACTGTGAGTGTAGGCCGAGCGCCACTCTGCCTCAGCTTTTCGTCAAACGTCTTGTTTTATAGAGAGACACAGTGATCTAGAAGTATGGTAACATGAGACTATGGCTGAACTGTTATTTTTATGTAGTCAACTGCAGAGTGCTCAGTGGAAAAAGATGTCTTTAAGAATTGTCACGTTCCCTTTTGCCTTTGCCCTCGAATGGTACGTCTGGGAACAGTTCCTCTTTGACTCTAAAGAGAGTACGCAGACACACACATGCACAGAAACATAATGTAGACTTACAGTAGCAACGTTTTGGAGGTGACAACACTGGGAGTCTCAGTACTCCACTGTTAGGATCTGAGCTTGTTCTTTGCATATAAAAATGCTATTCTAGGGAACATGTTTGATTTTGGAGAGGCTTTTGTAACTTTGCTAGATGCTGCATTGTGTCTGCTGCACTATAAACAACACCCATGACAGCATTTCTGTATCTGCAAGGGTAACTTCAAATCCCTGAACTCAAGTGCTTGGTTAGTGGAATTTAGCTCATATAGGGCACAGTAGGAGACACTGCCAACACATTTCGCCATAAGCTTATTTTAGCCAAAGCTGCGCCTTACAATCTATCAAAAGCCCTGTTCACCACTGATGCTCTCACTCTCTCTCTCTCTCTCTCTCTCTCTCTCTCTCTCTCTCTCTCTCTCTCTCTCTTTCTCTCTCTCTCTCTCTTTCTCTCTCTGTCTCTCTCTCTCTCTTTCTCCTTCTGTCTCTCTCACTATGTGAGAGGACAAGAATCTTCTGGATCCGGTTACAGCACAGTTGTGGGTAGCCAATCAACACCCACATTTGCTGAAAATAGACGTTGCACTTACTGAAAACATTTCACCTTCTGATACCTCCCATTGAAGCTTGCTAGCTCGGTGTATCTGCGTTTATGTTCGGCGGAACTTTCAACCAGGAAAGTCTCCAGGGTTTGAAGTTCCCCAGCATGTGAGCTGATGAAGATGACTTGAAAAAGATGCTTCAGGTTAAATGAACCTTTGAACCACCTTTGGCAAAAACACTTTGAATGTGAACTTTGAGCTTTTTTGTATTTTTTGATTTCAAGCTTTGTTAGTTGTTACTATCTTCTAAGTACATTTCAAAGCCAGTTGCTTACAAGCACAACAGGACAATAGGTCTATTCTAGTACACAACTATACCATAGCATTAGCCTGCACAAACTAGAGTGAGCAGAGCAAAGTGGGAGCGTGCTAATAAAGAAAAAGCTTGAAAGACACACATATGTTTTCCTACGGTATGTGACCAAACAACCAAGCTAGTAGGTCTTTGGAAGAATGTCTATGTACTCTTACTGTGTAGAAAACCATTCCTGTTCCTGCTGACAGGACGGCTTAATAGTGTGTGAAGTTGCGTCAAATGGAACTCAAATCCCAGAGGGTTTAAAATGGTCAGCTCACCCAGATCTACTTTGTAATAGGTGACTTTTTAACTTGCCAGGAATCTGTTGAGTTTCTTGAGAAGTACGCCTCTGATATAACTGGACTAGAACCAGATGTGTGTTCTGTTAGTGTACACCGGTGATTACCTCGAGCAAGGGAAGCAGGGACAGAAATCATACAGATGCGGGAAGTTCAGATGTCATTTAGTTTGTAGCAGGTATTGCCTAAACTGCCCTGCAGCCTTTTCTCTGTTAATATGCTTAATTTATTACAATGATAACTTCTTTTGCATTGATGTCATGTAAAAATGTAACTGCAGAGTACGCTAAATAATAAGATAAAATGATTAAAGGAAATATATTAATTTAAAAGATGTCTAAACATGTATATGTATATTTGGTTATGTAACGTGCCATTGAGAATTTATTCTAAAATAAAATGTTGTATTTTGTGTCATTTATGTGTTATCTCGTTTTTAAAATCTCACATGCAACACTTGGCGCACAATACAAGGGTTCATACTGTTACTGTTTTCATATTTTAATATTTTATTTACTCTGACACATCAGACGGACATTACAGACAAAGTTTGTTTAACATTTTAGAAACTGCTTTACCTTTAAACTGCATTTAATGTTTCTCTTGTCCGCAGTCAAAACAATAGAAGCGTTGACATGAGTGAAATTAGAGCACAGAGCCATGTCTTTTTTCTCTGCAGCACCTCAGGGTGGTACAGCTGATAGATGCATGCTGCAATATTTTCTCATTATCTGCTTCACTTGCTGTCTGTTTTGCTATGTTCGTTTAATGGATTTTTGGCACTTGTCTCTCCTTCATAATTAAAACAGTCACAGTCTCAGGAGAGTCCTTAGACCTGATAGACCAGCATTACTCTGCTGGATCCTGTTGTATCTTATTTTGTCCTCTGCTTTAACGATTTACCACAATACGCAGGGGAAATCTTGAGCTTGGGAATGAGATCAGTAGGGAAATTTTTCTCTGAATGCCTCAAAGAAACCCCCAGGTCCTGTAAGTCCACGTCTGGTGTTTTAAGACGTCATGGATCCTGCGGAACCTTTTTACAAAAAGTAATACAGAATTGATCCCCGGCAGACAACTTTCCACCTCGACCTCAGGAAAATCTGAGGGACGAGTACACAGTGGACTGGGCAGGCTCTCTGGTGGGTTCCTGTTGTCTCTGCGCACCCTGGGAAACTTCTGCATACACCACCTGTAACATTACAAATGGAAAAAAAAAAGTTAGTGAAATGCATATAGGCGAAAATTTATGGACTATTCAAGGCCAGTCAGAGGAAACAAACTATGTTGAGGGCACTGCAGAGGGCATTCAGTCGAGAAACAGGACATACACCCACCTCTTTGTTCTGCTGGGTCTTGGGGGGAGCTGTAAAATGCAAAAAATAAAATAAAAAACAGTGAATGCACAATGCTAAAGTAACTTATTATCAGTGTTATAAGGTACACAGTAAGAACACAAGATACATTTGGCTTTGTGTGAGGAAGAGCTACGTTTCTGGGGTATTGGGCGCCGAGGTGGGGGCTGTGGAGCTGGGTGTGGTTGGTCTCCGTACGCAGCTGCATGTGTGGACAGCGTTCTGGGAAGTGGCTGAGGCTTGACTTCTGAACTCAGAAAACGAGCCAATACCAGAATGATGGGAAGACAAAGAGAAGCGCAGGCACAGACCAAAACCCTGTGCAACACACTCCTCTGAGAGGGGAGAGCTGGGGGAGACAGAATAATGCACACAAGTAATGCAATTAGACTTTACTTTTTGAATGACAGAAAATCAGCGTAGCCTGATATATTTTTTTTGTGCTATTTTGATGTATTTCTTATATATAGTTCTGCTCTTATTTTGCTTTTGTCAGAATAACTAATTTAGCACTGCAAATACAGACACATACATGACAAAGAACAATGACACACATTTGTCAATAATGCATACCTGCAGTGATGTTCACATGCATCAAATGCCCCTGTTCAGTTTCTCCTGTTTCAGCCCAAACAACGCTGCATGCATAAGAACCTGCGTCTGATTGGGTGATGCTCAGGAGCTCCAAAATTTGTTTAGTTTTATTGGGTGAGAGTGTCACATTGTTCAAACGGTGCCTCACACTTTCGTTAACATGCTGGGACCTAGCAATCGTTGAATTTGTCCACATCCAGTGTCCCTTCCAAGAGGCTCCACAGTGCTCGACCACACAAGACAGAGACAGACTTCCCCCTGCTGGTACATGAAAGGTTTCAGATCTGCCCAGAACAGCCTGGAAGCATTCCTTAGCACGGACACCTGAAAAAGGGAAGTCTCTCTTTAAGTCATCAGGGTGCAGCAAGAAAATGAAATAACAGAAACAGCATATGTTGTAATTTCGCACATTAGTGACTGTAACTATTTTAATATGCAACATGTTGATGAAATCTTTGTCATCTCTTTAATCTTCTTCAAATTACCATAGCAAGACCGTATGTTACCATTAAGAGACTGAATATTTGACTGATAAAGACAATTATACACTTATTCTATGTCAAATAACACACACCACACAGGCACGCAAAGACTGCTTAATAATTTGGGTTGTTTTGTTATTTCGTCACGCACTGAACAAATAGTTTGACATAAAAAACGGTTTTAAAGTAAAAGCAGAATGAAGTAGATATAGGGTAGCTACATTACAAAAGACAATATGTTACAACTTATTTTAAAAGATCTTAAAAGATATTTATCGTCACCTTCACTACAACTGATGAAACAAACCTTTATGCTAAGGCATACGCCTGTCTTAGCCAACCAAGTTCTTCAAATACAACATAATGTATGGGGGAGATTTATTATATAGATTTTAATGAGATTTCAGATCTACATGAACAAACGTGTTACTTACCAGTATGAAGAAGGCAGAGACAGCTGATGGCACTGAGGAGATAGTTACCCATGTCTGACTGTAACAGTGTCTTGGTCATGGCTCATCAAAGGTCAGTTTTACTTCCTCCGTACAGATTAATTCTACTTGTTGGGAAGGGCTGTGTAATAAGCATGGCTTTGTTGGAAAACCATAGTGCTTGTCCAAGTCGGTGAACGCGCTCCTTCTCTCACTTTCTTTTCCTTTTCTCAATCATTTGACATGCTTTCCTTCCTTTATCCTGCTGCTGTTCATGCCCAGATGAGGTAAAGGAAGGAAGTGACATACTGATCATCCAACCCCCTCCACACACACACACACACACACACACACACACACACACACACACACACACACACACACCCCCCACTAGGCTCACATAATAAATTACAGGAAAGGCTTCTATTTCAAAAGGAAAGGGGCCAGTTTCCAGGAACAGCCACATTGAAAAACTAATATAGAAACTTATTTATCTGTTTTGTGGGTATGAACTTTTTTTTTTTTTTATCTATTATGTATTTTACATTATTTACAATTGTATACAAGCCAAACACATCTCACAATAATCTTTTTTACATACGTTTACATAGTTTTAAGTAACAACAGCACATCTCTTATATGAGACTTGGATGATCTCTTGTTTGTAAAGTTCAGTGGGTCGCAAAGTTTTAATGATTTGAGGAAGTTTATCACTGTTTGAACAAAAGGGGTTTTCTCTATAGGTACATTCACTATTCTCAGCCACAAACCGCAAACCTTAACCTTCAAAATAAAAGCTGTTTGTCACACTCCTGTTCATACCGGGCATTAAGAGATCCCTTCCCCGTGTGCCTCCAGTGTAAGTGATGCGGGACTGGAAGTTCGAAGGCTACTTACAAATAGTGGCAAAGCCTGGTTTTATTTTGTAAAGAATAACCGGACGGTTCATACGCAATGATTCTGTCCGGTTTGACTTTGGGCAGCGGCGCGCTCGTTTCATGTCGCTCCACGCAACCCCACTCACATGATGTGCACCAATTTAATGATAGTCTGCTATTACAGTAGTTCATTTAGGTTACCTTCACAGAAGAGGTCATTATTCAACTTTGTTGAGAGACTCATTGGCTGAAAACGGTCGAAAAACTGGAGGTTTTCAGGAAATGTCACATCAATTAGTGCAAACACATCTCACAGTGATGTAGACATCCCAGTGTCAGTAAACATATGCACCATAAAGACACTTCGTAAATTAGTTTTGTAATCACGCAATATTGTTTCAGTTAGTTTATTTTTTTTTTCTAAAGTCTAGTTTTCATTTTTTCCCTCCTTTTTCTTTTGAGGTAACTAAAATGTTTTTTTTTAGAGTTTAGTTTTAGATGTCTATTATAACCTTGGTTATTTAACCCAGACCCAATCAATGTTGGCTGAATTGAAGCTGAATGAATTAGGCCTAATTTTACACCAGATGGCAAAATATTCTTACAGTTGTGAATATTTTGTGCTCTATTGGGTAAAAAAAAAAAAAAAAAGATTAAAGTTTCTTCCAATAAACAAAAAAAAAAAACCTCTAGTTTGGACCATAAAAACAGAAATAAGGGTTTACTTCTATTGAACCTTATAGTTTACGGGCTTGAATGAATGAATGAACGAATGAATGAACTAAAAGTATCTTTGTGTTCTTTACAACAATTTATAAACCCACAAATGACACAGTTGCCACCCACAACATTTGTTTTCTTTTAATGATATTGCTTTCAAATGTTATGTATATTTGCACATTTGTCTTTTTATATTGTTCTCTTTTCTAGTGTTTAAGTTTTTAAAGGAAATGTGCGTGGGGGGGGGGGGTGACTGTCTACAGCTTACTCTGTGTGGGAAGTGTACACTGTGATTGAAATAATGAACTAATAGGCCGAATGAATGAATGTCCTTTATGAATGAGTCTTTCTGGTGCAATTACAACATGTATTAAATCAATTCGGGCTTTGTTGTGGTGTAGCTCCTTCTCACTTGTCTCTCGGGGGGGCGGGGGGGTCTCTCTCATGTCGGCTGCGGGATGGGTAAATCCTCATGTACTATAGATCACTAACTCCGCCCAGCCGCCACGTCGAGCGAGAGAACAAACGAGCGCACCCTGTGATCACACTGACTGACTGTCGGTGAATGAAAACTGATAAACAAAGAGCCGGTTACTTTTCAGGAAAACAGACAACGCTCCTCAAGCTCCACGGAAACATGGACACTGGTAGGTTGAGTGCCGCCGTCCCTCTCCTCCGCCGGGCTGAGCGCAGTGTGTGTTTCACTGTGAGAGGATGACAGCTGAGTAAGGGGGAGCTAGCTAACGGGCTAAAGTTAGCTTTCATTGCGTTAGCATGCCAGCCTGCTAGCATGACTTTGCCGTCGTTTACTCTGCTAGGTTTACGGTTTCTTGCCCGACAGATTGTCAGCGAGGCAACCGAGAGCCGCACCGCAGACAGCGACCGATAACACACCGCAACGTGTCCGCTACAACTGGTGTCGGCTTCGTGTTAGCTCGTGTAGCTAGCTCGGCTGTGAAGAAAGGAGTTGGAAATGCCAGACAGAAGCTGTCAAACTCTTTAAAGTGGTCGCGATTCATGTAAGTGGGGGGGTTTCCACGGTAAAGCACCGTTTTGAGCCGATAGTTTGACCAGTGTTCACATCACTCTTTTAGTAGCTTTTAACAGTGATTAATGCTGTCTGCCAACCTTTAACCAGCCAAGCCAGTTGAGTAGGATTGTAAAGATTTCACTCTGTTTAACCTCAGCTCTAACACTTTATACCTGGATATGTATAAGACCTGTGTTTAATTGTTCTCTTCTGTAGAGGAAATCTCCATCTAGAGTGTATGAATTGGTGTATGGACCTTGGTAGTGTGATAATGTGCTGATCGTTGGACCTTTGTCAGCCTGTGTGGGTGACGGTGAGGCGCCACTATTAGGCTCCATGCCAATTGTAGTTCAGCCCTTTGCACATGGAGCAGCGGTGGACACAGGGAAGTGTTTAGCTAATATAAAGCCAGTTGTATAACCTATGATGTGTACATTTGCAAGTCACCCTGGCTGCCTGTGCTTTGGCCCCTGTCTGTAGGAAATCACTGTGATGTCAGTCCTCACCATTCATGCTCCACTTGGTGAATAACAGCCTGATCAACTAACTGACTGAGCTTCTAGTTAGTTTCCAGTGTCTGCTCTTCAACACACACCCTTCTGATGTTGTGCTTGTGTAAGCCGCCGCCAGCTGATACTATAGATACATCTCTTACTATTTCCCCTTCATTATCCATCCATGGTCATTAGTGTCAAAAAAATTTGACAGTTGCGCCACCAGCAAAACTGTGTTTCGTTGACACGGGACCCCATGCAGGCCTGCTCTCAAAATATTCTCTGCCTTAGGCCTGGTTCTGCTTTTTTTTCTGTTATATGGGCATGATGGTTAACGAGGTTTGACACTGTACTAATCTGCGGCGGTCAGTGCATCTCAGCTTTGTGTTGATGGAAAATAACAGAATGCAGCTGAGAGAGAGAGAGAGATGGAGAGAGAGAGAGAGGGGTCGACTGTAGGCAGCATGCATGACTAGGCAATGTCCCTCTCAATGTTTAATTGCTCTGCACCATTATTTGACGGAATTACAAACCATATATAAGTGCCAGTTTGATTCTGTCAAAGTGTGTGTGCACCTCTCCTTCCAGTGTCCAGTGGGACTAGGCTAAACAAGCTTTTCAGTGTGTTCCTCTCACTGATGGAGCCAGATGAGTGGTACCAACGAGCTCTGGTCAGCCCGAAGCTCCCAAGGGTCTCTTATAGCACTACTGGAAAGCAGTCTTGATTTATTTCTTGTTTGTCTCTTCCTTTTTCAAGTCTGTCCTTCAATTTTATCAGAGCTCGAATCATAATTGTACTCAATAATATCCTTAATGGACTATCCTCTACTACACTCACTGTATGGATGTTGGAAAAAGAGATGTACCAGACAGTTTCAATATTCAATAAAGGATCTGCTGGTAGTTTATGACTATCGATCTGGTATTTTACAGGCATTTTTGTGACATCTGAGAGTATGTGAGTGCTCATAAATCAGATCTTAAGAGGGAAGTGTGTATGCCTTAAGTGCACAGATGAGTCATGGGAATTGGGACAGCAGGAAATTCCTCCTCTTGGTTATAGTCAGTCAAGCTGTGAAAGTGTTTCTATTACGAGTCAGCTTTTGTTTGTGCTTGTCTTCCCACTTGCATTGTTTAGCCATTCATTCCCTTCATCCTTCCTTCTCTACCTCCCCCTTGCTGTGTTTCCAGGTCTGAGTCAGGAGAAGGTAGCCACCTTCCTTAAGCGACTGCGGGCCGAGCCGCGCTACCTGTTGGCCCAGAATGTGTCGACCTGCATTGACCCGTTGGAGGTTTGTCTGCACCGGCAGACTGTCCAGGATACTGTGCACATCTTCCAGCACTCTATCCCCACAGAGGGCAAGCCCATCACCAACCAGAAAAACTCAGGTAGGACCTAATGTAGTACAGCAACATTCACGGTTACATGCATACTTTACACAGGATGAAGAAATAATTTTGTATGTGTCTGTGAGCAATGTCTTAGCCCTTGGGTGTGAATTTCCATATAAGTCCTCACAACATTAAAGAGCACAAACAAATGTTATTCAGCACACTTTGGTAAGTGAAGGTATTTCTGAAATAAATGGAATTTACATTACATTACATACATGCATACATTTCGACATTTTCACACACCATCAGCCAGCAAGTCTGCATGTTAATATTAATTAATTAATGAAACACAAGCTGCAAAACTTTCCTCAAACTGTAAATGTGTTTTTTAAATATTTCTTGACAACAATTAGGACACACTAAAATCTGGCACTGACAACACATGGTGTGTGTTAAGTCTGCTGTTTTCTGGCAAAGAATCTTGTTTTGCTGCGTGGACTCCAGTGCCTCACAACCACCATACCACCATGAGTGGTGCAGCTGGAACCACTCATTATGTGTTGGTGGATATAGTGTAGGCTACAAAAGTTAGCCTTGTCTCAAAAATACACTAAATGTCTTAGGGGAAAAAAAGTCTAGAGATGGATGAGCAACCTGAAGACAGCCCAATGCCGACCATGTTCCAAAGCAGACCATATAGGTTTTGTAACTGATAAATGGTAGCAGTAGCATAAGAGAGACATAGAACTTGCTTTAAATAGGTCAGTACAACTCCTACATCATCCTTGAAACTTGTGGCAAGCTTCAAAAGACATCCACACCAGTT